CCACCTGACCCACCGCTACTCAGAAGCCTCCCACAGCTCCCATCTCCCTGGGGGGTCAAAGCCAACACCCTCCCCAAACTCTATTCATCTCCAAAAAACAGCTCCACTACCTTGTCATTTGCACCCCCAGAGATGTTCCTCCTGCTGCCTGATCCCTACTTTTCCTTTTTAACTCCAGGCTGGCACCTTCTCATCCTTTCAGTCATAGGTGGGCCCTCTGGAAAGGCCTGACATGCAGGCTTTCCCTAGGCCACCAGGCTTGGGTTCACCAGTCTCATTCTCGCCCTGCCCCTGCCCCTGCCCCTGCCCCTGCCTCTCATGGCTTGATGCCTGGTGCCCAGCACAGCACTGGTCCCCAGGAGGGCTCCCCAATACCCACTGAAAGAATGGCTTATGCACCTCAGTCACAGTAATGCCAAGGCCACTAATACCCGTACCCAGCATCTCCCGGGGGCCTTCCCAGGAGTGCAGTCAAAGGAGTCACTCAGCCCCTGGCCCCATACCCCATACTCTGGAGCACTCAGCCCCTCAGCCCTGGGCCTCCCCACACCTGCCCCGATACTCACCCAGTTCATCTGTGAAGGGAAGAGAAGAGAAAGGTGAGGTCAGAGGTGGCCAGGGCTTGTCATTTTCAAGACAGATTCCCGACCCCATCCCTCTGGGAGCCCGTGATGCACTGGAGTTTCTACTCCCACCCCCACGTCCCTTCAGCCCCTAACTTCAGGGAACTGGCATCAGGGCATCTTCAACCAAAATCAAATGCCTCCCCAAAACATTTACAACAAGGATCAGGAAGTACTGGTGGGTGTCATGGAAAAGCAAAGGGTTTTTTTTTTGGCTGAACCAGGGATTGAATTCAGGCCCTTGTGCTTGCCAGGGAAGCGCTTATTCCACTGAGCCATCTCCCCGGCCCCAAGCAAAGGGTCTTGTTACCAGGAAAATCAATGGATACCCTGGATTCTAAATCAACTTTGGGGCTCCTTCCTAGGCCCCAAGGTCCCTGGCTGCAGTCTGAAGATCTGAGGGCACTGCTCCTCTGAATCCAGAGCAGTGTGCCCTGCCTCCTGGCCTAGTGCCAGAGGTGCCCACCCCAAATGCCACACTGAGCCCTGCTACCTGAGGGAGGAACAACAGCAATGTCCTCTGGTACCTCCCCAGCAGAAATAGGCAGTACCAGGGGCTGTGGAAAAACTGAAACCACCTCCCATCATTGCACAGGCAGGCCTAGGGGACTCCCAGAAAGACACAGAGAGCCAAGTCACACAGCAGGGAAACGCAGCCCAAGCCCTTGCCTCACCCAGGGTGGCTGCACCTCAACGACCTACCTGCAGCCAGACCTGCCCTCTTTGTGCCTACGGGAGTGGCTCCCAGGGCCCAGAACTTTGCCCCAGGAAGGCTGCTCTCTCACACCCCTATCGCATATCACCTGTGAGGTAACAGGGTGCCAACATCCCTCTAGAACGTGGGGATACTGAGGCCACGGGAGAGGAAGTCTTGGAAAATCCTTGCTAGACAGCTGTACTAGATGGACTTGGGTACCCAAGTCCTGGGTAGCAGTGCTGGGCCTTGAGATCAATGGCCTCAGTTCCAATCCTAGCTCTGCTACTCGCTAGCTGTGTGCCTTGAGCCCACTATTAAACCTTTTTGTGCCTTGTTTTCTTCATCTCAGGAATGGGTACAATAAACCAGACTTGGTAGCAGAGGCTTGTAATTCCAGCACACAGGAGGCTGAGGCAGAAGGATTGCAGAGAGTTCAAGACCAGTCAGGGCTACACAATGAGTTCAAGACCTGCATGAACTACATAGTAAGACCATTTAAAAAAAAAGATAAAAGAGATCCCAGCAGGGCCTTCATTATAGGCCAGGCATGGTGTGCATGCTTGTGATCCGAATCTCCTGAGGATCAGGTGGGAGGACCTCCACGAGCACAAAGCCAGCTTGGGCCACACAGCAAAGCCCTGTCTCAAAAAAAAAAAAAAAAGGGGGGCCGGGGAGATGGCTCAGTGGAATAAGTGCTTCCCTGGCAAGTGCAAGGGCCTAAGTTCAATCTCCGGTTCTGCAAAAAAAAAAAAAAAAAAAAGAAAAAAAAAGGAAAAGGGAGAAGAAAGAGGCCCAGTGGTAATGCCTGCCTCATTGGGCTTACGTAATTTTCAGACTTGGTGTGTGGGAAGACTTAGATCAGGTGTGAGGCACCCTACAAATGTTGGTCACTATGGGACAAGGTATTGGGACACACGGTTTCATGGAACTGAGTCATTTCTCACCTTCCCAGGCCTTGGTCTGTCTAAGAAATGGGTAAGTTGAGAGCAGTTTCAAAATTTGGGATACAGGGTGACACCAAGGTGGTTTAAATCCCAGTTAGTGCCCACTAGTTGTGTGGCTCTGGGCATCTCTGAGCCTCCTCTATGCAGTGAGGGCTCAGCACCCACTCTGGGGGTTAACAGGAGAATTAGGATCACACAGCTGCCAGGCTGTAACCCCAGCATTTGGGAGGCTGAAGCAAGAAAATCCCTGTGAATTCAAGGTGAGCCTGGGCTACTTAAGTGAGTGCAAGGCCAGCCTGAACTACACAGCCAAGACCCTGTCTCACACAAACAACACAAAAACAAGATCACATGGCAACTGCTTAACACAGGGTCTGAGTTCCATCTTCCCTCCATAAAGTGGCTAATTTTTCTTTTTAAGTACTGAGGATTAAACCTAGGACCTTTGCATTGAGCTACATCCCTGGTCCTTTATTTTTTATTTTGAAACAGGGTCTCATTAAGTCACTAAATTGCCCAGGCTGGGCTCAAGCTTTTGATCTTCGTGCTCAGCCTCCCAGAGTGCTGGGATAGCAGGTGTGTACCACCATGCCTGGCTCCACCCTTCTATTAAACATCACTAACCCCAAGATTTCTTCATAGCTCCTATTAGGTTTTATAAGCCCACATTTGCTGTTTATACATCTACCTCCTCGTCTAAGTAGGGAGCCCTCCCAGGGATGGGCTGTGGCTATCTCTGTCCCTGCTATAGCCCCTGTGAGCACTGCCCAGCAGAGGGCCAGGCATATAACAGATGTTCATTAAATATTTAGTAAAGGGCCAGGGAGATGGCTCAGTAGAATAAGCACTTGCCTGGCAAGTGCAAGGGCCTGAGTTCAACTCCCGGTTCTGAAAACAAAACAAAAAAATTAGTAAATAGACACCATCAGAATTACTCCCATTTGAAACCAAATACCTTGCGATCTTGGTCTCAGACACAGTCTTAGCCTTGCTTCTGCCCAGAAACAGGGCTTGGGTCATATCTGTCCCCAGTGAAATTACCCATCTCATCACTACCCCTCCAAACCTTCATTCAGACCTATTGTGGAGGCCGCAGTGCCTTCTTAATGGCCAAGCCCACAACCCCACCCATCCCAGAAGGAACCCAGCATTTGTATTGAGCTACATCCTGATGCTTTTTTCTTTTTCTTTTTTTTTTTTTTTTTTTTTTTTTTTTTTTTTTTTTTTTCCATTTTTCATTTTGACACAGGGGCTCCCTATATTGCTAAGCTGCCCAGGGATGTGCTTGGGCAACTTGCAATCCTCCTGCCTCAATCTTCCACAGTTCAAGACTAGCCTGGGCTACGTTATAAGACCTATCAAGAGTGTTGGGATTATAAACACACACCACCATACTACCCCAAGACAATATTTCTGGGGATTCATCCAAAGAATATCCTTGCAGAGACGACCCCTGACCCAGGTTAATGGGGCCACTGACTACTCACAATAGGACTCTTGAGCCTGGGGGGATGGTGCACACTTGTAATCCTAGCACTCAGGAGGCTGAGACAGGAGGATCCCTAAGAGTATGAGGTCAGCTTGAACTGTATAACAAGACCATGTCTCAAAACAAAGAAACAACAATCAAAAACAACAACAACAAAACAGCACTTAAGAGGCTGAGGCAAGAGTATCACTATGAGTTTGAGGCCAGCCTGGGCTGCCTAGTCAGTTTAAGGCCAGCCTACATAGTGAGACCCTGTCTCAAAACAAACAAATAGGGGCTGGTGAGATGGCTCAGTGGTCTAAAGCACCTACTTAGAA